TACATACATATACATGCGCATACACACACATACATACATATAGACAGAAATAAATGCATATATGAATATATCCATACACATATGCATACATACACATTCACAGACACATACACACACACACACACACACACACACACACACACACACACACACACACACACACACACACACACACACACACACACACACACACACACACACACACACACACACACACACACACACACACACACACACACACACACACACACACACACACACACACACAACACACACACACACACACACACACACACACACACACACACACACACACACACACACACACACACACATATATATATATATATATATATATATTATATATATATATATATAATATATATAATATATTATGTATTATGTATGTATATATGTATATATATATATATATATATATGTGTGTGTGTGTGTGTGTGTGTGTGTGTGTGTGTGTGTGTGTGTGTGTGTGTGTGTGTGTGTGTGTACACACACACATGTACATTATGCCAGGTAATTCCGCTTATGAGTTATCGTGTAAGCAATCAGATCCGTTTCCCCGAAGAGAAAGTTATCACCAATCAGTGACCAGAAATCGTGATCACTATAAGGTCATAAATCCCATATTCTAAACTCGTTCTAATCATAATCAGGAATCGCAATCATCGGTTTCGATTCGACTTTCTTGTACGAACCGCTATCTCGTAATGGATTCCAGTCCTTTATCATTCAAATGGCGAACACGATCATCTCTTCCTCAGTGGTCTTTACTGTAACCGATTCCAGGAAGGAGTCACGGCGGGGGAGAGACGGCTAGTATGTGTGTGAGGGTGTGAGGGTGTGTGTCGTGGCGATACGCATATATGCATTTAACCGTATGTACCTACCTATATATATATATATATATATATATATATATATAATTATATATTATATATATATATATATGATGTGTGTGTGTGTGTGTGTGTGTGTGTGTGTGTGTGTGTATAAGTATATATTGTATATGTAATATATATATATATATATTATATATATATATATATTATATATATATAATATATAAATATATATAGAGAGAGAGAGATAGAGAGATAGAGAGGAGAGAGGGAAAGAGAGATAGAAAGAAAGAGAGAGAAAAGAGAAAAGAGAGAGAGAGAGGAGAGAAAGACAGACAGACAGAGACAGACAGAGTGAGAGAGAGAGAGAGAGAGACAGTGAGACAAAAAGAGAAAGAGAGACAGAGAGAGGGAGAGCCCTCAGCAAATTCTTTCCAGTAATAGACAAGCGTTTATTTAGAGAAGAGTAAAACAAAGATGGCAAAAAGCTAACCAGGCGAATAAAACACGACCCTCTTCTTTTAAGTCTGCCAAGATAACAAGCGTTTGCTGGATGACACGAATAAAGAAAAGAAAATGAAGGAAAAGAACTTGATAAGAATACGCTGAGATGGTTATCACGAAATACACTGTAAGAAAAATTACACTAGATTACATTAACAACTTTCAGCTTTCTCGAGTCACGAATATCTTTGTGATTAGTCCGACAGGTCACGCCACGCGGGGAGCTGACCGGGGCTGCAAATATCAACACAATTTGCGATGTTAAAGCGGAGAAAAAAATACGACTTCTTCATCCTTTCCCTGTGTTTTCATCCTGAGGTATTTTCTTCTTTTTCTTCTCTTCCATCTTTTTTTTTCTTCTTCTTCTTCTCCTTCTCCTCTTTCCTTCTCTTCTTTCTCTTTCTTTTTCTTCTTCTTTCTCCTCTCTTTGCTTCTTCTTCTTCTCCTCCTCCTCCTGCTCCATCTTTTTCTATCCCTTATTATTTTCCTTCTTCTTCTTTTTCCTCGTCTTTTTCTTTTATCTTCCTACGTAAAGTCGACCGCCTGTAAAATCATCTTCGAAATGCAGGAGTTCCGTCTGCCTCGACTCTCCAACAGGTCGATTCAGACGTTGACCTGTAGTTGCGGCCGGGTCATGCTCCCCTCCCCTCGCCCCTCCCTCACACAACCTCCCTTCAGCTAAAAGCCAGCCTGCTCCAAAGCCCTTAACCTTGAACACTCTCAACCTATTATAAACATCATAAAGCAGGTCAGCGTTAACAAAGAAGGAGTGACCTGTTTTACAACAACCTTGACGGCGGCAAGTCACGCGGCCGAGCAGGTACGCAGCGGGGGTTGCTCTCGGGTTGTGGACGGTGCACCTGCACTCGCCCCCCCCCCCCCCCCCCCCCCTTTTCCTTTCCTCCCCTTCGCTTCTCTCTCGCTCCTTGCCATCTCCTCCTTTCTCACTCCTATTGCAAACCTGCGTTCGGTTTATTGTGGGCTTCCCTTTTCTCTTACTATTGTTCCTACATTTCCTTCTGGCTTGTCTCTTCTGCTTCTTCCATTTTCTCCTTACTGTTTCTTTTTTCATTTATTTATTCATGTCCTCGCCCCTCCTCCTCCCCCGCGCCCTTTCGCCTCCCTCCCTTCCCCTCCGCTCGCCCCTTTCCCCAGCGAGTAATTTAGCACAAAGGGCAATGCTGGAGCCAGCTACGTGTATTTTCATTAACTTCTCCCGCGCGCAGAGATGGCCACGGTTCTCCCCGCGTTAATCGGCGACGTTTAAGAGATTACGACCTGCTGAGCGGACGTTCGTTTTCGTTTATCCGGCCGGCGTCCGCGGCCTCGTCCGGGGGGAATACGGGCGACGGAGGCCGGCGGCGGAAGGGCGGCGCCGGAGGGGGAGCAGCGACGGGGCTTCGGCGCGGCGGAGGGCGTGGAGGGGGAGGTCGGCCTCCTCCGGGCAGGGCGGGGGGGGGGCGAGGCCGGGTTATTTGCGTCGAAGGCGCCGTGCACGGACACGAACGCGCCGACGCATAGGCTCTGCATATGCAGACTTAAACCACGAGCACGCACTCACACTCACACACACACACACAACACACACACACACACACACACACACACACGCATTATAATATAATATATTATAGTATATATATATATATATATATATATATATATATATAATATATATATTATATATATATATAATATATCTCTCTCTATATCTATAATACACATATATCTCTCTCTCTCTCTCTCTCTCTATATATCTCTATCTCTATCTCTCTATCTCTATCTCTCGATATATATTATAGATTATATATATATATATATATATTATATATATTATATATATATATATATATATATATATATATATATATATATATATATATCCTGTATATCTATCGTCTATCCACCACCCGCGCGCAGGCTTTCACAATCGCCGCCCTTTGCCCGTCCCTCCCGCCTCCGAGCGCAGGTTCCCCGCGCTCGGCTGGCTCCTCCGCCTCGGCTCCCGACGCCCGAGCTCGTCCTCCTCCCGAAGGCGAAGAGGAGCGCCGCCAAGGCTAGAGCGCATCGTCCCGCCCGGAGGAAGATGCCCCGAGCGATAACGGCGGCAGCCCTCGGCGACGCTGCTCGGCCCGGACCAGGATCTGAGTGACCCTTCCCCTTCGCTGGTTCCCGCAGGACCGGTCGGTCTTGGCGGGTAATTTATGCGCCGGCCACCAGAGGTCAGGGCAGGTCAGGCGCGAAATTCAAATCCGGCTTGTGGGCGGGGACGGCCGCGCGCCGTAGCCTACTTGTGAGCTAATTTTCAATTTACATTCCCATTAGTATGCAAGGGCCGGACGCTCGCTCCCAGGGCGCTCGCAGGTTGATACCAATCTGAATTGTGTTATCAGAACACTATCCCAGATTAAATGGAAAGTGATTTATGATAACGCGTGAATTATAACGAGGTCGGGTCCCGCGCCTCGCCCGCGCCATGCCCCGCCCCCCGCCATCTTCGCGGGCTCTTCCCTCCGCGCCCGCCCGAGGAAGCGCCGACGGGAGGCAGCATTTACATTCAAGATGTCGCCCGTCACGCAGGGGCGGCGGCGGCCAAGGGCACAGCGCCGGACCATCTCGCACGCCCGCCCTCCGTGCCCAGTCGATGTGCATTTGCCAGACAATGCTCGTGATTTGTGGGCGTCGTTAAGGCAGGCAGCCGTTTGGGTCGCCGCCCGCGCCCGCCGCGCCCGCTCCTCTTCTTTTCCCTCCTTTCCTTTCCTTCTCTCCGGCGGGAGTGATTGGCGGACAGGGAGAGAAAAGGATATATAGCGAAATGCTACTTATATACATACACATACTATACTAAATACTATATAATATATATATATATATATATATATATATATATATATATATATATATATATATATATATATATATATATACATATATATACATAACAGAAACAAGTGAAAATACGGTGTGTGTGTACAAAGTTACATACACATAGAAAAGCATATGAACCAAATTTATTTTGATAAATCTAGAAATAGATATAAACGAGAATTAATGATTGAAGGTGCACGATATATATATCTTGCGCTGTAAAGTTATTTATTCTCAATCATTCATTTTCCTTTGTATGTATGTATAATATATATACTTTTTTTTTCTTTCTTATTCTCCTCCTTCCTCCTCCCTTCCATTCCTCAGTGACACTTACAACATGGTTAGCAGTAATGATATCATTAGCATAATCATTATTATTATAGTGATAATGATAATTATATCATTTTAGTATTATCATTCTTATCATTATTTTCATTGCTATTGTTGTCGTTATTATCCTTATTTTTATAATTATCATCATCATTATTATCACCATCACTATTGTCATTTTTATCCTCATTATATAATTGTTATTGTTGTTGTCATTATAGCTATTTTGATTATCCCTACTATTATTATCATTATCATCATTATCATTATTAATATCATTACTATAATCAGAATGATGATAATAACATTATTAATATTTCTATCATCATTTTCATCCAGAATGATGATAATAATATTATTTTTATCGTTATCATTATCACCATCCTAAAAGCGAGCCGCAGCGCCCGCCTTCCCTGAACCGCTCCTTCCCTTCCTCAGCGTGGCCGAGAGGGACGTCGTGCTGCCGCTCCTTCCCTTTGGCCTGCGAGAGGAACGGACGAGGAACGTGTCCATAAACATCTCGGTGGCGGAGGGATCGCACCTTGACCCCCTCGCCCTCGAGCTGGAGGAGGGGGTCGAGTTATTCTCGAGGCCTGACGTCGACGCGCAGAACGGTGGTGGAGGGTGGGTTGCGGAGGTGAGATTGGGGTTAGGTGTGTGTGTGAGTGAGTGTGTGTGTGTGTGTGTGTGTGTGTGTGTGTGTGTGTGTGTGTGAGTGTGTGTGTGTGCGTGAGTGAGTGAGTGAGTGTGTGTGTAGTGTGTTGTGTGTGTGTGTGTGTGTGTGTGAGTGAGTGTCGCGCGTGTGTGTGTATGTGTGTGAGTGTGTGTGTGTGTGTGTGTACTTGAGTGAGTGTGTGTGTGTGCACTTGAGTGAGTGTGTGTGTGCGTTACTTTTTGTGTTTGGGTTTGTGTGTCTGAGTATTCCTTTGTCCGAATTTGTGTGTATTTTATACAGAGAAAATATGTTGTATATTGTACATTGTCAATTGTCACACACGTCCCTGTCAATCTAAAAACTAAA